ATTAATATCCTTTTATAAAGATATTTATATAGTATACTAAGGCTTAACTACTATTAAAATCTTTTTAATACCTAGTACTACTATAGTATATAGTATAGAGTAACTTAATTTTTTATATACTTAGAAACTTATAGTTTAATATAGTTAGTTAGCTAGTAGCTATATTCTCTATATCTCTTATAATATAATCCTAGATAATCTTAATTAAGGGAGTATAAGTATTTCTACTTTTTTAACTTAGATTAGTAATCCTTATCTAAAGATCTATTCCTTTAGGAATCATTATCCCTTATATAGACTAATTAATAGTTATCTTAGGATCTACTACTACTACTACTACTTTACTACTTTAATGTAATAAGCTCAAACAGACATCTTGGATTCAACTATCTGGCAGCTAATGTCAAGGTGCAGGCTCGTAAGTAAACGGAAGTAGGTTAATGAGGTAGTTGACACTCAGGCTGGCTACAGTGATCTCTATCTATTTGTTCAGGCTGCAGGGCAGGCTGGTACAGGTGGGCTTTATAGACAGGACGTAGCTCAAAGAGCTTCAACAGGTTTCGGAATTGTGCGGTGAAGATATTCCCAAGGTCACGTGATTTCTCATTAGCGGTTCCAACTCCTATCCACGGCAGCACCGTGACAGCTAAGATACAAGAATTCTAGCATGGAGAAGGGAGGAAAAGAGAAGTAGGGACGGTGCGAGACCAGGCCTCGAAATGGGACCGCAAGGACCGCAAACCAAACCGGACTGGACCGCTGCGGTCCTAGGATTTTTAGGACCGCACCACTGCAATCCGGTTAAGACCAGCGGTCCTACAAACAGGACAAACATAGGAATCCCTGTGACATGCATATTTTGTGCAAAATCTACATGTATTTTTAAGTATTTTGCTTACAGATTAGTTTCAATATTAGATGGATATACTCAGATGGAATGCAATATAAGCGAAGTTTAGATTATAATGGTTTTTTCATTAGTAACTCTACTAGATCAATGGCTATTCATACACAAAATCTTCATCCCGTCTTAAACGCTTTGGAAGCCGCCCTGATGAGCGCCTCTGAGTACTACTCTCTTGTTGTAAGCGGCTGTTGTCAGGTAGAGGAATCTCATCAACTTCATCTAATTCAATTAGAGGCCCAGGCTCATCTGAGATAGCTTTAGCCCTTCTCTTCCCAAGCGCACGCTCACTAGAAGGTTGAATAGCTTGAGATGTGGCCCCAGTAGCAGACGGTTCATCCTCGTCATCACTGATAGGATCAAATTCATCTTGTTTTTTCTGAGCGTCCTTTTCCTCTTTTGCTATTTGCGTTTCTTGGGTAGTAAGGTACTCTTCCATCAGGGAAAGCCGCTCAGATTCTATATCGAACTTCGTTGTACACATAAACAACATTAGCTCCTTGATTGTTTTTGGTTTCAGTGAGCCCCGGCGGTAGTGGCAGATATCCCAAGCAGAGTTGAATAACCGCTCGACGCCAGAACCACTAGCTGGAGTGGTAAGAACGTCTCGGGCGAGGCTTGCCAGGATAGGGTATTCATGTTGATGATCCCTCCAGTACACCCGGGGATTCACTAGTTGCGTACCTATAGAGGTTAGTGTAAGAGAAGTAAGAGGTGGAGGATAGAGCTTACCACTTCCAAGATACCGCGAAAGCTCATCATTGGCAGTCGTTTGTGGCCGTAGAGATTCGGCTGATGTCACAAGGATATCAACATCAGAGATGCCTCCTGTTGAAGACTGGGCAGTTGATGTAGACTGTGTCTCTGAATAGCGCTGCTGGTAAGGTTGAATATAAGCCTCGAGGGACTTCTTATATCGTGGCCGCCAGTGTGGCCCCCAGTCCTTTGTGGAAAAGAACTCGAGCTTATTCCGTGGCGCCAAGATGGTCCCAATTGCATAGAGATCACCATCAATCTCATCAGTCTTGCTATAATACTCCGAAAGCTTGATTTTCGCAGCCTTGAGCGCTGATAGCATCACCTTCTTCCAGCCAACCTTCTTACGCGCAAGCTGTGCCCTAGACTTCTCAAGATGAGCGAATAGGGTATTATAGATTGCAAACACACTGTGGATGGTAACCTCTGTGGTCTGAGAGAGAGAGGTTGTGAATTTAAAGAAAGGCTGGGTGATAGATAGAAGATAGTCAATCTGTCGCCATTCATCCTTATCTAGCTTCAGATCAGGATGACCATACTGGGAGCAGTACTCGTCAAAGGTAGACTGTAGCCGCCTGGCCCGCCGTAGCATAAGATATGTCGAATTCCAGCGCGTCCGAACATCTTGTATAGGGACAAGCTTTGGTTCTTTCGTCTGAAGATCCACAAAATTCTCTCGGCGTTGGGGACTTTTGTTGATGAAGATTGCTAGCCGTCGAACCTAAACAATGATTAGTAGTTAGATAGCAGAAGAGAGAGAGTCATACCTTATTCAGAGTATCCACGATCTCTCTGTTCTCTCGCCGGGCCCTATTCTCTCCCTCAGTCCATTCCATCTCTTCTCTATCATTCCGGGGGATCGCTTCCATCTCACTGAGTAGCTCCTTCAAACTCAGTTGGATAACGTGTGCGATACATGGCATATGAATAATGGGTGTATGGCTCGGAATCTCAAGAGATGTGAGGGCCTCTTGAAGACTACCCATCAACGTAGAGTTATTAGACGCATTATCAGTAGTAATAGTCAACACCCGGTTAGTAATCTGATATTTCTCAAGAAGTTCGAATAGAACAGTGCTCAGATAAGACCCAGTATGCGAGCCATGCAGGGGTTCAAAGCCAAGTAAGAGCTCACGGTAATTCCACTCTTGGTCAAGAAAATAGCCCGTCACTGCCATAAAGGCCTGGCGAAAAGGTGAGGTCCAGCAGTCTAATGCAATAGAGAGCTTGGCACCCTCCGGAAGCTTCCGAAGCAGAGTATATTGACGTTCTTCGACCAATTCTTGAAGATGCTGGCGGACGACATACGCAGAAGGGATTTCGGGGAAGGATGGAGCAAGCCGGGCCATTTCGATAAGGGCGCGAAATTCTGGATGCTCAACAAGCTGGAATGGTAGCCGCGAGGCAGTTATGAAGGTGATTACCCTCTCCATCCAGGCTTGCTGAGTGAAAGATGCTTTTTGAGGAGCCCGGTGTGCCTAGTAAGGAGGTTTAATAAGATGAGTAAAGGTTCAGAGGAAAGATAGAGATATCCATACCCCATTATGTATCAGCCGTCGAATATCCTGCGACTGAGGCGCCAATTTCCGACAGTTAATCCCTTGCAAATAGTGTCTATTCATAGTAGATGTTCCACGGTGGCGGTCAGCAGGATGGGCAAGGATATGGTCGCATGTCTTACACATAACCTTAGGAGACCCATCCTGGATAGCAGCTACCTGGTGGAAATGGTCCCAAGACTCCGCGTGGTGCTTACCCTCGAAGATATTTCGTTTCATCTCACTTCCATACTCAGTCTTCAACCACCATGCGACGAAGTCATCATTCACCATCTCTGTCCAGAGGATATAGATCTTCTTCTTTGGAGGACCAACGCGTTCAAGTGTCTCAGGGATGGCGGGCAGAAGCGCTGGCCGTGTGAAACTAACATTAGGTGTGGAATTCGGCGTGTTCTTGCCATATAAAGGGTTAAATGGCCCATCAGATGGAAGGAAGGAGAGGTTATCCAATGGATTTTCCTCGAAAATTGATGAGGGATAGTGATCGGAGAACTGAGAGGCCTGGCTCTGTGACATTATGATGAATTGAGTATAAGATGGAAAGTGGGAGCACGTAGAAGAGACTTACCAGAAGACTTTTTGACTAGGAGAAGAAGAAACAGTTAATTACTAGGGGAAATGCCTACTAGCATGAACAAAGGAATGGATAGATCAACTCAGAAGCTATCCAATGATTAGGTAGTAAGTCCCATAATATTGCAGTCTGATGCAGTTAAGACCGCATAAGACCGCATTGGACTGCATTGAACCGCATTGGACCGCATTGGACCGCATTGGACCGCATTGGACCGCATTGGACCGCATTGGACCGCATTGGACCGCATTGGACCGCATTGGACCGCATTGGACCGCATTGGACCGCATTGGACCGCATTGGACCGCAAAAAACACCGCAAGAACCGCAGTAAAAACCGCAAAACCCCCAAATAAAACTGTAAAGACCGCGAAGACTGCATCAAGAACCTCTGTAAGGCCCACATGACGTGGAAACCCCCCTAATTCTTGCAAGTCCGCCCTCCATATGGGAAGAAACCATCTTTCTATAGGGATTATTAGGATATAGTCGTAAAGTATGAATATTTTAGGAGAAATATACTTTAGTAAGATGTAAGCTTTCTAAGTATATGCTAATTGTGTCACGGGCTAGAAGCCGATTCAACCTATAACCTAGGTTTGGACGGTAAGAAATCGCTAAGAGGTTCTAACTGGGGCCGCAGCGGCCGAACACGAAGAGGGGTGTGCGAGGGAGAAACGGGGTCACGTGACATGGCTGTTCACGACATTACTTAGTACAGAATCACGTGACCTAGCCTGCCTGAGGCAGTTCGCGAGTGCTCAGTGAGCTCGAGCATTCAGCGGGCCTTGCCCGCTACAAATCAGGCTATCAAATAGATATATAAGTGTCACGGACTAGAAGCCGTTAGACCTATGACCTAGGTTTAGATGGTAAGAAAGAGAGCTTCTAACTAGGCCGCGGTGGGCGAACAAATATACCAATGGTGTGTGCGAATAGGGGCAGGTCACGTGACTTGAAGCTCGTGCCTGAGTTGGATATGACCTTAATAGGCTCGAGCACCCTACGGGCATTTGCCCGTTACAATAAGAGCAGGATTTGAGGAATATTGGTAAGGCAATGTAGTTTAAGAAGGCTGAACCAATTAATCCACTAGAAGTTCTGGTTTAGAGCCAGCAGATCCAGCAATCCAGCAGGGCCAGCATCGACACTATTATATATTTTGTACATGTTGGAGGATAGTATCAGGTATAAGTGCCGCATGGTGCCGTTAAGCCTGTCACAACCAGAACAGACGTAAATAACAGTTAGTTACTGATCTTATTCAGTAAGTTATGCATCATGTGTCAGGCTAGATTGGGTTAATTTAGCGAGAATTATGCTAGTGTGGATAATAACAAGATATCCGCATCGTATCCGCGCGGATTTGGATGCAGATAAAGATAGCATCTTAGGTATCTGGTATCCGCGTGGATACGATATGGATACCATTTGCTATCTGATATCCGCGGATATGCCGCAGCCTAGTAAGGACTATACCTGGAGGATGGATGATCAATGAACCTTAGCCTAACTAATTGAAGTAGCTCCTCAATCACGCAGCGTTTGCAAAGATGTAAGTAATATTAATGGCGGTATAGCTGCACATCCTCTGATCAGTGGAAGGTGTTTTTACTGGCGTGAGGTCTACGACTGTGGGTGCTACCAGCGGGGTACATTTCAACAATGCCAACGCAGACGACACACCAACTCCAAGTGTGATAAACTTGGTCGCCCACAGCCGCGTTCTGTGGGCTGTTATTGCCCAACGCACCTCGTTTCGGCGGGTGCTACAATCATATATGTCAATCGGGATGGGCCCTGGTGGCGAACCGACCCCAACAACAACAACAACGGCGGCGGCGATGACGGCGACGAGGAGGAAGAGGAAGAGGAAGAAGGAGAAGGAGAAGAACAAGAAGGAGAAGGAGAAGACGAGGAAGAGGAAGAAGATGAGGAGGTGGACGACGATGGGTCAGACGAAGTCTGGAACCTGTGATCGACTATGATCAAGTATAATTAATGTACAGCTTTTAATATACTGTATCAATACATTGACTTCATCTGGGCCCATCTTCTCCCTTCGAGCATGAAAATCAGTACGAGTACTGCCTGTGTTAATGCCGTAAGCCCTCCGATTGTATCATGGACGTCTGGCTTGATTGAAGTTGAATTCGTCTATTATAAGTCTAGATGTCCTGTCTGAGAGCGTAGTCATGTCGTCATTAGTGGAAAGATAGCAGATGATAAGTGATGATGAGGGCATACCTGGTTCTTAGGTAGCTGACGTATCTAACACGCGTGTTTATTACTAAGCTTGCTCATTGAGACCTTAACCCCCTCGTAGGTGGCCTAAGTTTGTCTGTCCGGGAATCCTCTGCCCTCTTTTCTACCAGAGATGACCTCAGGTACAGCATACCGGTGCAAGAACTTGCATCTCGATGTGCTTCATTTCCTTCCAAACCCAATCAAGTCCAAGTCGACCGGGAAACTATACGAAGCTCCACCAAGCAAGGCATCGAAGACCCATCGAAGATCCAAAGCGCTGATTACTCGGCTTCCACTAGAAATTCTTCACTTGATATTGCTCAACCTGGACCTGACCAGCATGGGGATGCTGCGTCGCGTCGACACCACATCAAGGCACTTAGTAGAATCACTCCCTGCGTACTGCTTGTTGAGGAAGCATGCCCCAAACACGCTGTGTCTCATGGATGCTACGAGATGCTCGTCGCATTTCCCAATTCAGTGGATATTTACAGAGTTCTGCCATCCCTGGTGCCGGACATGTGGCGAATTTGGCCCCTACCTTTACCTGCCAACAGTCAGTCGGTCATGCTATAAATGCAATTATCTCCGACCCGAGTATCAATTAGCACCAGTGACTGATGTTTGCTTGCACTTTGGGCTGACCCAGAAGGACGTCAAATCACTTCCAATCATTTACAATATCTTACCACCTAAACACCGTTTAGCTGACGTCACCCAAGCAAAAGCGTTGGGTAAACAGCTCCATGGGAGTTACAAGGCGATGAGGCAGGAATACCAGACTCGTCGGAAGGAACTCGAAGAAAACTACCAACACCGGGTTCAGAAGTGGAAAAGACAAAAGCAACAAGGAAATTCCGCTCGACGCCCTCGGCGCCAATCTATTCCTACTGCACTCGGCAAGGACGGAGAGACAGGCTCGTGGAGAATGGAGGCGACAGTTACATTTCCGTACTGGGATCGCCATACCCAGACATTGGAGCCGGGCACCTTCTGCCGAGCCTGCACCTATCACTGGGAGGAGGGAAAGGCGAATGACTGGAGATGCATGGAGACCATATGGGATCCACATCCTCCTAGCCGGGAGGCCTATTTCCGAGCTTTTTTGGAGGCTGAACTACCCCAACATTTTCTACATTGTGCAGCAGTGAAGGCAAACTATAATCTCCGAGAAATTGAACTAACAAACAAGGAACCTAGGAGAGAAGGAACCGATTTTGTAGTAGCACCGAAGAAGATCATTGCTGGATGAGATTTATGGTAGTTGTGGGACTTGTCGGGAAGTGAGGATGGCTGTCTATGTAGATCACATCCTTCATCAGCATGGATTAAGCATTGGGGGTTTGTTAGTGGAAAATGTGCTCCTTAAGATTTAATCTGAAGACTGTTTCAAACCCCACGATATTATGGTCTCCTTGTCGTATCACGCCACTTTCTGGCACCAAGGGGTATCATCCTCAATGCATGCCCTTCCAAGACATCTTTTACCTAATCGATCTTGCTTCGATAGAAGCACTATTTATAGAGGGTCCCACCAATCCCCAAATATTTTGAACGTGGGACAAGAGCTTCAAGGAGCCCCCTGTCACCTACAGCTAACCGTCCTTTGAGCTAGTTGCACTACCTTGAGCCCCTGGATATGTCTGTACCCAGGAACTATAGCTGTCCAAGTCAATGCATCGAGCACCGTCCATTATCCCAACGGGTCTGTCTGGCGCAGACAAAGAATACCCAAGTGGGGCTGATAAAATCACTGCAACAGAGGCAATCGGATGTCATAGTCGAGATCGAAAAGACAGGCTTACAAGTTGAAACGGTTACTGAGCACGTTAGCTGTCGTATGAAAACACCATAGAACCCATGAATAGGATGAACCATCAGCTTGAGCATCACGAAGGGACAACAGGGCATCATCAAAATTGATATTGGCCCGTAAACAACTGGTCTGGAAAGGCATAAGAAACTTTGGAGAGTAGTCTAAACGCAAGCTCCTTTTGCATGCCTATATCACAAAATACTGACTTTAAAAACATAAAACTAGTTTAAATATTAGATATTATAACATTATTAGGTTTACTTCTGTAAGTATATATTATCTGATAAAGCGAACCTGCTAGACTTATTAAATTAGCCAGAATAAAACTACTCCCTATTGTATGATTAGATCATACTCTTATATCATCCTGAATTTCCTTATAAATGGAAATACCTGCCGCCTTGGCGACACATCTTTTATTTAGCTAGGAATCTTAGTTAGTTATTCATGAATGGCTGAGTAATACCTTCCCTGAGCGGTCAGTGGCTGATCCGGGATCCGCCCCAGACCGCAGCCAGATTACTCCCGGATTGCTCCGGGAGCGATCTGTGGGCAATCAGCACACGCACCAGCTTACTCATGCCACAATAGGAGCTGATCCCAGAGCAGAAAGCGGCGCTGATCTAAGCCTATTCCGGAAAGAGAAAGTCCTCAACCATTCAATAGCGTCCAACCAGAAGAATGTTCAGCTTATCAGAGCCTTAGGGCAGGGATTTAACAAGGCTGTGTTTGCTTACTGCATAAGTCATGCAGCAAAATTATGTGTCTGCCTGGGTAAACGGTAATTCAGCCATCAAGTACACTCTTAATTCTAATTGCGTTTCTCACGAAATCAGGCATGTTCCAGAGATGTTCAATATTTCAAGAACACCTAGTCCGTCTGTATCGTACGGTCCCTTCCTACTTGACGATATATACCGAGTCTATCCTAATCCTGAAGGTTACCAATCAAAGGACTCCTCCAAATATCGAAGTGATCGACACCCCCGCCGCATAGCCAGATGCACTGCCGCACGGGTCTGATCAGCCATCCCCGATGACCCGCACACCAACACCAACACAGACGAACCACTAAGCCTCGCTTCGTTCGCATGTGCCATTATTATCGCCGGTAAATCGGGTCGTCCGCACACAAATTCCACACTATCCATAATCTCAGCCTGACACGTAGGTTCAGAAGTAACATAGAACGAGAAATGGACGTCCTCCCTGTTGAGCGCCTGCTTCAGCTCTCTCCCCGCAATATCGCGCATGAACGTCGACTGCCGAGCCGTCCAGACGAGATGGATGCCCTGCGTCGAGGTCTGGCCCGTCGAAGAGCGGATGAGATGATCCTGGATGTAAGGTACCGCGGCGGCGATCCCAGTTCCGCCTGCGATCAGCAGGACGGATTCGTACCTCCAGAGCGGACATTGCTCGCCGTAAGGTCCTTCGAGGAGGATGTTTGGCTGAATCGTCCGAGTCGGTGATTGCAAGCATTCATCGCGGAGATGGCGAGTCCAGCCGTCATAAGGTCGGATCCAGAAGCGCAACGCGAGTTTGCGTCCTAGTAAAACAGCTGTGTCGATTGAGCCGTAGTCTGAACTCGAACTGGGGCTGTCAGGAAGAAGAGGAATTTCCGAAACATCGACGGCGTGATCGCTTTTCACAGGGGCGCATGGAGATGGAGGTGCTCCATCTTTATAGGACCATGACCCCAGAGTGAACGGATGACTTTCCCACCCCGTGAGTCGGAAGGGTTGGTAGAGAAAGTAGTATTGTCCCGGAACCGGCTGCAGTTGCCCTGAACCGGGGGTCAGCTCCAGGCGAATCACATCGGCAGCCTCGTCGTATGTCGCGACGCATTCTGTACATTGGAAACAGCTGGGGGAACCGAATCGGACATGCAAGTTGCAGTAGACTATCCGAATCAGGCGCAAGACTCGATCGGAGATCCATATCACGACTGCTGGCCAGAGATAGAACCAGTACTCGTGATCCTCAAATATGATGACGTGACTACAGGCTGTTAGAGACGACCTCTTCAAGGAAGATGCACTCACTAGAAGCAACCGACAAGAGCGGCAATAGAGAAGAGAATATGGAAGACGAGAAAAGTCTCGTATGTCCTGCGTCGAAACCAGTCCACCGCAAATGGGAAGATCAATATCATGGCGACCATACCCTGTAATAATCAGTCTCGCTGGCCGATTTGGACTACTAGAGAAGTGGACTAGCTCACCACTGTCCCCCAAAAGAGATAGGGCTTTTGCAACTTCTTCCAAGCATTTCCCGCTCAAGAAATCATAAGCGATGGTCCGCAAGTGGAGAGGACAACCCACCTTGAACGAACATGACAGTGTACAATATCGTATGGACTACTGCCTGAAGCGTCGCTATCCAAGCCACATGGCGATGGAAAATGTTGAATGTCGAGTAACTCCACCCCGTCGCCCAGAGAAATATATTATTTCGGCCTGCGAACAACCATAAAAGAGGTATATTGGCAAAGGAGAGGATTCCCGTGCGATCCGCAACATACCGCAGGAGCTGTGCCGATATGTCGGGCCAGCTGCAGCCGTCAGCATATGCAGATCAACATCACCAGCAGACTTACTAGATATTGTCGGAAAAGGTTCGATAACCGACGAGACAGAGCACAACACTCAGAATCCAGAAAAGTAAGACGATGATCGCATGGATGCGTCCTGGAAATGTCCACCAAAGGAGCCGACGTCTGCTCGATGCGAGGGGAGGAGGGATGATCAAATTGGTTTGTATCCAGTGATAAATCGACAGTACCGGAATGAGAAAAGGTAGCGATCGCATTCGCTTTGAACAAATCGCATGGAGAGCCAGTTTGTGCAGAGCCCCAACGGCAATCACAACGGTCCAATACGCATATCCCAGGTATCTAGTCCATCAGCCTTACCCTACGAATTCATCAAATGACTTACCCAAATGCATAGTGAGACCAAAGCTCAAATTGCCAGGCATCCTGTCTTGGTAAGCATTTGATACTGCATCGAACTCCCTGGCACTCTCACAATGGTTCGGAACACACGGCGGTAGTATAATTTGGAGATCAAAATAGGAGTGTGAACATTTTCCTTCTTCGACAACTCTCGAAACTCAACCACCCGCATACGACCGATCGCTTCATTCGTCAGGTCCGCGGCAAACTCCTCCCGAGGAATCAAATTTACGCCGGCGTAGTCTCGACATTGGGCCTCAAGCTGTGCGAAACCTGTCACTCTTTCCGCGTCTGAGCAATGCACATCAGAAGCGGCGTAGATTGACAGCACATGTAGCCGATTTCGACAGCGTGACGCCCACAGACCCTTATTCGGGAGGCCTGCGAAAGAAATATACTCGTAGGCCGTGTACACGGCTGTCACACAGCGTTCATTTGGCGGAATGATCTGTGATAGAGCATTTGGCAGGTGCGATAGAATTATCAGCCAGCTGAGGAATAACATGGCTGGCCATGAGCGAGGGACAAAAAGAGGGGAAGAAAAGGAAGTTGGCGGAGGGCGACAGTATTGGCATCAGGTCGGACCACGATCGGAAGACAGAGGTGACCCACTCAAGGGTTGAGATAGAGTTATCGGGTCTTGAGAATAGGGTCGTACAGATTACCTAGAATTCTAGTTACAATATTAAGGTCAATATATTGAAGGAGAAGACATAGCGAGACACATGGATGCACACCTCTGAAATTGAAGATATCCCAGGGTCCCCAAAATGATGGGATTTATCTAATCTGATCATCAGGATCAGATAATAGTTGACTTGATATGATTGGCTGACCAGTCTTTTGTATCGACTTCGGGCCGGATCGGATGACTGCCTGGTTGCTTAGTCATGTCACGTGCCATTGTCTGTGAGGTATCTCCATATGTCTGCAGATTTAGTCACACAGAAATAGTCATCCATCGTCATTCCGGCAGATTACTATATGGCAAAATGTACCCCTTTACTCTGTACTTGTATATCAAAAGGAAAGGAGATATGTATTTTTTGCTCTTGGTAACGAGGAGAATGAATGAAGGTTTTCTGCTTGAGCGCTACCTTTTTGTTGACATGACCCGAACACATTCTGGAATCAATCAACCAAAATCATCGCCATCCATCCACTCAGATAAGGGCATTCTCCATTTTCTTATTTCTAAAGGACATTTCATCCATTCACATCATTAGTTAAAAGATGCAAGATGCCTATCACCTGCATAGTGCAGTCGATATTATTTACGCCTGAGAGGGAATTGATGTTGTGCGACTAACACAACAGGGGTGGTCCTCGCACATATCCACCTTCTAGTGCCTTATGGATGCATAACCGCGACATGCGAGACACACAATTGCAGAAATTACAATGAGCAATGGAAGCGAGAATCTCAGCCTTGTCAGAATCTCCTCATATCTCCGGTGTACATCGCATACGGAGTATGCTCTCATGGGCTATAATTGGGCATGGTTTCTTAACGGAGAATGGGTTCTAGGGTCGAATACGAGCCTCTATCCATAGGCAGTTAATCGACTCGACAAGCCAAGAACTAGGCGTCAGGCTAAAAGAGACTAATCCCGCAATCTGTCAGTGATTTCCTCTTGATTATCTTCAACATTTCGACTCTCTGTTCTGTACCACACAACGGCAGTAATGCCATGGTTCCCTCCAGCCGGACAATCGACGCAGGATGGCTGGCGTTTCGACATCGTCAGCCTCCTCGCCATCATTGGCGAATCGACGCTTGAGCGACACGTTCAGGTTATCACCGCCTCCTCCTTTGCCTGGCTCCCGCGCCTCCTTCCAGCACCGCAGACCGTGCTCAAGACCGAGCGACCGGGCCGACTCCCCTCCATCAAGGACGTCGTCATCACAGGTGTCTATTCCGGACTGCACCTCACAGAACTGAATTTCTTCGCCGATGTGATCCACGATGTCACCGCGCTGCGGTCGTACGAGTTCCGCGTGTACGACATCCACTACGCACACAAGGAGTCGAAGGAGGCGGAGGAGCTGCGGTCCCGGCCGCGAATCTTGACCGATGGAATCGCAGAACCAGTCTACATCCCCGTGAAGAGATTCTGCGCGCTCAACGTCGTAAGTTGGATCTCAGTGGTTATGACCATCGGCCTGTTCGTCTGGGCTGGTCTCATCCACGACGGAGTCGCAATGGTCGCGCTCGTGACCATGTCGCTGTCAACAAGTCTGGCCTGTCTCTCCTCGCAATGGTACCCCATCCTCTCGCACCGGCCGACCGACGCCAAGGTTCCGCGGGGCGATATCGTGATCACGACGCGCAACGGGGCGTTTGTGGTGGTCAGGTGCGACGAGGAGATCACGCGGGAGCTGTACGGGGGCACGGAGACGTGCCGGTATGTGTTTGGTGATACATGGCATCGGGTGCTGCTGGGGACCAGCACGGTCCTGCTCATGGCCTCGGTGATTCTGTTCAACAACTGTGGCTGGACGATGCAGGTGGCCATCGGCGTCGCGTATATCATTCTGAATATCTTATACTGGGCGGTGCCGTTGATGATGCACCGCAAGTCCACGTGGGATATGAGTCGGTATGAGATCAAGAGGGCGTCACCCAAGGCGAGTCCAACGAAGCGAATGCCCAGCTACACGGAGACGCTATGGTACGCCATCCGTGAGACTGGACGGACGGAGTGGGTTGAAAATAGCAAGTCCGCGCCGTCGACAGAGGCCTGGCGAAAATGGCTGCAGGAGGCTCTGAGGAACTGCTACGACGGGTGCATGTGGGATCCGGTCGATGCCAAAGATCGCTTGATGCGGGAGGCCGCAGAGAGCATCTTGGCGCCAGCGACAAAATTCGACTGACACTATGAGCACGAATTTCACGAGTATCATATTGTTTTCTATCGGATACATCATAACTTCATGTTCCTCTGCATGCCGTAACCGTGAGTTCTCGTAAATTGTACGGTGTCATCAAGTCATAAGCGTGGATCAATAATATCTCTCGAGGCCATCCAAGGCAGCTCGATAGTATCCAGGATAGATGGATCGTCTCCAAATCTGCCGCTCTTGATCACGTCCTGGACAAACGACAGGTCGCGCTCTTGAATTCCGTCTGTCCGAGGCCGTGAACCGTCAAACACACGCGCCAGAAACCGCAGAAATGCAGACATCGCAGCAATGATATAACTACGCTCTTTGTTGCGGACACTGCGCATGACCTCGGCCAGCAGACCTGGGGCATAGTACGGGACAATCGCTACCCCGTCGCCAACGCCATCTACACTGAGCCCATCCACCAGTCGGCATCTGGTAGACTCTGGCAGAAGCTGAAAAGCCGTCTGAAATATCTCAGCCGACTCTAGACTATCGCCTCGGCCCATGCAGAGCAGTCTCAGTAGCGTTCGTTCCTCGGCCTTCTCAACAGAAAGCAAAGCAAATCCCTTTTCGTGAAGAAGTTCCGCCCGGTCCATCAAAATCCGATCGTAGCATACGCGCTCAGTCCGAATGTTGCCTCGAATAAACTCCCCAACAACCTCAATGGCCCGTAGATAAGCCCGGCAGACCGATTCGGTCATCGTAGCGCATCCCCTCGCGTCGCGATGGGCAGCTGCGCCAGCGACATCGAGCAGCGTCACCATCGCTCGCATCTCGTATCCGCGTGCGTTGTCTCTCATCGACCGTAGCACAGAGAGACTCGCCGGCGCGCACTCACCCTGCACCAACTGCGAGATGTTAAGCTTGCTTCCGATCTGCAGGCTCTGCAGAATTGCTTCCCTGCCGCGGTGGGGAACACCTGCAAGCGCCGGGATGCGATCTGCTTGCGCGGCATGATACACTAGCTCGGAATGGTTCACTTCGGCCTCGTCGGCCGTGGCTAGGGTAGAATCTTTGCCGATATCATCGATGACGATCGCTACCAGTAACGCGTAGATGTCTTCTGGGTCGTGCAGATCCCGGGTGACCGTCTCCCGCATACGCTTGAACGTCTCCGGCGCCAATTTCCCTTCTGACTGGCCGCGTATGAAAGAGTCGTAGTCGTCTGCCAGAATCCACTTGAGTGCCAGCATGCTGATCAGGGTGCGGTTGACCTCTGCGAATTCTGCGCCGTAGATCAGCGCGGATGGTGTTCTCTCGTCCAAGCAGCCGGGAGGCGTGCTGGCGGCAGATTCAACCGTAGCACTAGCATTTCGGAGATGAGAGAGCTCTGTTGGGAATGAAGATGCAAAAAGATGGATGGCCTCGGTATCTGGCAGAGTTGGGAATTTCTCCCGCGCGATGACGTTCCGTAGCGTGGTCATGTGTTGGCGGGAAGCAGATTCAAGGCACCAGAGAAATTGTAGGATTGATGAGACAAAGGGTTCTATTCTTCTGAGCATTTCTGAATATTACAACTGAATATATAACGGATCATGGCGTTTTAAGCAAGTTGACAGGACCAAAGAATGCCTCGGGCTCGGGCTGCACAGCCGCACTGCCTGATTATCAGCCACTCTGAGCCTCTTAAAATGTCGACTTCGTATTTTATGGGCGCCTAGGTTCTGTATCTCAGTCTCCTTCTCTTCCACAGTTGGTCAGAATCCATGTTGAGAATATTATGAGAAGAGGCTCTGTCATGTTGTTTTGGCAGCAAAAGGGCAACGGATAGGGAGACATATATTAGTGGGCAATATACTACAGCCTCATCCCCACTTCCAGTATCTGTAACTTTCCATCTTCTCTATAACTCTCTAATCAAACACCTCAAAGGCCAAAACCCTCTTCCAGATAAACCGTGGCTGCGATTATAGACAACGACCCTCAGTTTGATTTCGACTTTGCCAGCCTATCAGATGAGCCGCCACAAAAAGATGAAGGACCGCAAATCAAGAAGATCAAGTGCATGAAAAAGGAACTACAGGAGATCCTAAACCTATAAGATGACCAAGAATGGCTCGAATGGTTACATTCAGAAATAGTTAAACCATGGTGGGTGGAGCTTTGGGACGATTACCTCAGTAAGGAGAAAGAGAAGGAGAGGGGCAAGGGTATTAGGGACATTCAGAGTAGGATACTGAGCAGGGAGGCATATAGGGTGTTAAAGTACAGCAGCCCATAACCAAAGAAGGAAGACTAGGACGGCACAGATCATCTTACATACTTTCACTTTAATGTTAAGAAGATCAACATAGAGTTAAGGGAGGGGGTATTCTTCAGCAAGAATTAGAGCAATGATCTGATGGATAAGATTAAATGAATTCACTACTTCCTCTTTCAGTCAATATGTAGCGTCGCCCATAGGATTGTAGATTATTGTACTTGAGTTTCCCTCCTGTAAACAACTCCATCCATCACGTTCTAAGCGCATTCTCACCATAATAATCACATTCCACGACTTCATATCCTCTCCAATCAAGTCAAAGATGGCCGACTGGGTGGAATTCTGCGGAATCCACGTGGATTTTGACAGCACTACGGTGCTAATCTGTCTCTGTGTCTGTTTTCTGGTGGCTGTTGTTTCGCGCTCGCCGGTGCTGGTAGAGCTTGTCCGCCATAAATATGGGTTAGTTCTAATGCTAAATACCTTGACTGTATCTAAAAATAAGGACAGTCACTAACCCATACCTATTACAGTGGCACAGAGACCTGCCCTGGCTGCAGGTGCACATGTGTGCTTGCGGGCACCACCGCCATCGCCAACGACAATGATGACGAGGACGAGGATGAGGACGAGGGCAATTATGAAAATGAAGCAGGAAAAAGGGAGAAATGGGAATAAGGGTGGGCCAAGTGGCCTTCAAATTGGCATACTGTATTTTAGAGTCATCCATCCAATAACAAGTTGACGCGTGCACTTCTGGTACATTGTAAAGGTCTTGTTCACCTTCTGTAATGTCTATAATGAGAACCTAATAACAGTCCAATCAAACGATTCCAGACAGAATATGATCCAAGTAAGGTATCTTAAGCTTTGATGTCCGATTCCGAAATGGAATGGTCTCAAGAATGAAATGCACGACTCACACTGACCTCATACTACGGACAGCCGACAGATCACCAAACAGCTGCCAACTCTTTCTGGTAATTTTCCTTCAACCATCACCTCACATAGGAAAGCCAGCACACAAAGCAAGATGGTTTTGTTTCGCAAGGACAAGAAGGAGCAGGAGGAAAAGCCCAAGTGCGAACAGAAATTCGAATCGGCCCACAAAGGATGGAAGACCGACTGGTACTGGAAGGAGCAAAAAACGCGAGGAACAAAGCAGCGGATCAACGTGCAGAACAATCAGGTCAACCCCTTTCTAGAGCAGGAGGCACGGGGTTTCGCCATACTCCAGCGACGACATCGCTTGATGAAATTGCTGGGAGATGAGGAGGATCCTGGCGTCACGGAGAGCAAGGAGGAGAAGCATCCGCCTGGCTATATCACCCAGACACAGCGAGAGATCTTCCAAAAGGCCGTTCGGGACCTCATGGTTGACTACTGGAGGAATGCAGCTGAATTGCGAAAGATGCAAGAGTCCTGGCAACGTGAATATGAGTTGGAGAAGCTGGCGCTGCTTCGAGTACACAAAGACCGCCATGGCCGGCTTTACGCTTGGGTGATGGACCAGGAGAAATGCGCGGATCTCGGAGGCTGCTGTGGGCAGGCATGTGGCTGCTGCAAGAAATCTCTACTGACATATCTGCGCCCTTCGGACAATCAAGAGGAAGCACACGGCGTCTATGGACATTGTACCGAGGAGTGTGCCTGCTGTATCAAGAGTGGTCGCCGTCGACCTCCCCATCCGCGCCTTCCTCCAGCGCCTGATGAGGGTATGTTTTGAGGTTATTGGGGGGTGCCTTCCTTTACCTGGCTTAAGATTGCTTCGAACAGAACATGTAGCTTCGTGTCGCTCTCGAGATGTTCTCTTCTTTGGCAGTGCCCTGTGTCCAAGTGGGAGCGTCCCGAATGGTAAGTGATCAATAGTTATGGTGTTTGGTGAAGATCTTGCGGCTAATGGCAACCAGGCTGAAGACAGTCTGGAAGTGGCTCCGGACTGGGGCGCTGGCAATCCTCCGATGGTTGGGATGCACCTGCAGTAAGCCGAAGCCCCCCGCCGATGAAGAAAACCAAGCCGGACCTGGCGGTAACGGGGGGGCGGGGGGGCGGAGGCCAGCCTGCAGCTCCCGGCCAGACAACTTCGACCCCAACAGCCCCTCAGACGAGCCAGCCCGACACTGGAGGGGGAGTCGGCGAGATGATGGGTACCATCAACGCGGCCGGGGTCGTGGCAAGCGGTGCCGGCGACGATCCTTCCAGTGGTCAAACTAGTGAAGATGACACCGGGTGATCCGTCCACTCTTTTTGTTTTTTATTTTATATAGATAGTTTATATAG